CCTCCTTCCTTCTAGACAGCCACTGGGCCACTGAGCCACATCACCAACTCTGGTTGTGTTGTTTCTTTGTTTTCGCAGTATTTTTACAGTTTTGCAATTATTTTAGTCTTCCTCTTGTAATATACATGGGGTTAAAGTTTATGAATAACTGGTTTTCACTGTTTCACTTACCACCTAGTGTCTTGAAGTTCATCCTTTAGTTGTGTCTTCTAGAAGGTCTTGAATAATGTTTCTTTTGATTCCTACCTATGGAAAACCAGTTGGCCGTTTATATTTGAGTGGAACTTTGTTTTGATTATTTCTTTGAGCACATTTGTGACCTTTAATCCTGGGATTTAGCTCTGGGGAATCAACCTTTTGCTCAGGTGTCTAAATAATTTCTTCTGATTTTTTTTTTTTTTGCTTGTCCTGGGTCTTGAACTCTGGGCCTGGGGGCTGTCCTGGATTCTTTTGCTCAAGGCTAGCGCTCTCTTGAGCCACAGCACCACTTCCAACTTTTTCTGTGAGTTTTTTGGAGATCCGAGTCTCATGGACTTTCTTGTCCAGGCTGGATTTGAACCACAATCCTTAGATCTCAGCCCCCTGAGTAGCTCGGATTACAGGCATGAGCCACTGCAGCCTGTCTATCCTTTTCACTTCGCTTTCCCCTCAATTGCTCCAAAGTTCACCAGTCCATGCTTGCTCTTGGTGGCCTCTCTTGACCTGTGTTTCCATGAAGCTGGTTAAAGATCTTCTATCACATGGCCAACACCACCAGTGCTTTAGATGTGGGATTTTCTTGACATTTGGAAGATTTGCATTTATGATGAGGCAATTTGGGGGAGGCCCAAGTCCACATGAAGGTTGTTTTTGTTTCCTGGTCCCCTCACGCGCATAGCTTGAAGATGATCTTACATGGTATTCTTAGTGGGCCTGTAATTACTCTGTCACAGGAAGACAGGTGTGGCATTTTCCACTTGTGACTTCATGGTGGTACTCAGAAAGGTTTGGAGCTGGGAGCAGTCCTTCCTTCCTCCTTCCCCTCTCCTTGCCCCTTCCCCCATTACAGATGTCTCTAGTCTCCCCAGAAATGGGGTTTGCATTTTTGTGTGTATTCCTTTTTGCTTTGGGGTGAATTCCAAGAGGAAGTCTTTGAGCCAGGATATTTTGACAGGACAACGCTACTTTTTTTTTTTTTTTTAATCTTTGCCAAATAAAAATCTTGTTGCTGTGTTGTTGCTATGACATGTTTGGAAGTAACTTTTCAAGTAGATCTAAAGAATCTAGTTTTGCAAACTGCTTCTTACATTTAAGCCTGTCATGCTCCTGTTGGTAATGATATGCCCTTCACTTGGCCAAGTCCTCCCGGAATGCAGGGTCAGAGGAAGTGAATGGAAGGCACAGGCCACAGAGCCTGGGCGAGCGTTTATACCCAGAAGACAGCTCTGTATGCGGGCTTACCAGTTTAATGTCAGTCAGCAACCGTGGTTGTCCATTTATGACTTGCCTGCGTTCCTCTGCTGTCTCCTCGCATTCTTCGGATGCTTAACCCCAAACTTGGGGCTGGACTTACGTTTGAGTTAAACAGAGCTTTCCACATACCAGCAATAGTCCATATGCAAGTAATAGAACAAGAAGAGAGCGTGACAACAACCTTTCTGGAGATCTCAACCCCAGAAGTAGGAATGATACAGACATGGGGTTCCTGGAGAACTATAGGAGGAGGAGGTGAAGGCACCGAATCCCAGCCGATCTCTAACTCTGTGAGATATTGGAGCAGTGGTGTTTCCTAAGTGATGCTTGGCTCTTCCCTTTCCTAGGGGAGGATGCATGTATTTAGGCCATGGTGGTGCTGGTGTGGTAGTGGTGGTGGTGGTGGTGGTGGTGATAGTGATGGTGGTGGTAGTGGTAGTGTGGTACGGTGATGGTGGTAGTTGTAATGTGGTGTGGTGATGATGGTGGTGGTAGTAGTATGGTGTGGTGGTGGTGGTGTAGCAGCGGTAGTAGTGGTGGTAGTGGTGATGGTGGCGTAGTGGTAATGTGGTGTGGTGGTAATGTGATGTGGTGATGGTGGGGGTGTGGCATTGGTGATGGTGGTGGTGGTGATGGTGGTGGTGTGGTGGCAGTGTCACAGATGTCTGAGGAGTCTCAGTCTCTGGTGAGGTGGCCTCAGGCCACCATGTATCTCTGATGTCGGGGGTTTACTGGAGAAGATGCTAGATGTTTCCATAAGGAAGTTACTAGAAAATTCTGGGGACCAGACTAGTTAAGAGAAGGAATACAATGAGTTGGGTGAGAAAACCCTACCAATTGGGATTAAAAAGGGGGCCCGAGAGCCTGGCTGGCGGCTCCTGAAGAGCGGAGGTGACGGTTCAGGGTTGCGAGGCAGTGCTTGAGGCCATACCTCACAGTAGCCCTGTGGTGTCCGTGGCTCTGTACCTCACGGTGGCCCTATGGCGGTCCTTACATGGCTGTCTTGGGTCCTTCTCCCTTCCTTCTGTCCTCTCATTTTTCCACGCATAGGTGTGCCTGTCGTTCTTAGCGTTCTCTACTTACCCCTGCTTAGTTTTCTTGTATAAACGAGGCAGACCCTGAACCCTGAGCCCAGGTCCACCTCACCGCTCTGACCATGCCCTCCTTCTTCCCTGTCTGCCCTCACTTGAAGCTTTGTGGTCTTTGCTGTACTCTTTTAAAACCAGTAATTTACAACACTGGGTTAATTTCCATGCTGTCACCTGGCGCATGGATTGTTGCACGTGCTTTGAAGCTGGGCACCACCCCCTCCTCTCTCCTTCCGTAGTGTGTATCCCCTTGAGCTTCTCGCTTCTCCGTTGTGTTATTTTCCTGCTCACAGACTGTTAATGGCCAGGCAATGGGGCCCCTCTCACACACCCAGCCTGATTTCAGTCTGTGTTTGTTGTTAGTGTTGTTTTTGTCAGCTGTGGGGTCTGAACTCAGAGCCTATGCGCTGTCCCTCAGCTCTTCAGTTCAAGGTGAGCGCTCTACCATTTTGAACCAGAGCTCCACTTCCAGTTTTCTGGTGGTTCATTGGAGATAAGAGTCTCATAGACTTTCTTACCCTGACTGGCTTTGAATTACGATCCTCAGATCTCAGCCTCCTGAGTTGCTAGGACTATAGGTACGAACCCTTAGCCCGGCTGAAATGTACTTTAACTTCCCCCTTCCCACTGGCTCTCATTTCTGTCTCGCACTGTGTCTGCTGCCCCACTGTGTAGCCTTGTCCCGCGTGGCCTTGACCTGTGTGCTTCCCATTCAAACCAAGTTCAGTTCCTCCTCCTCCTCCATGATGGACACTTCTTCCCTTTTTATGTCCCCTTCTAACCTTGTCATCTCATGTGGGCTGCTCATTCCTTAGTGCTCTGAGAACCCGCATTCTGCAGCAGTCTGGGGGACCTGCACTAGCTGATTAGTTAGTGTGGTCTTTAAGCAGCTGATAGTGAGTTCCACTCTGAGCTGGGTATTGTACCTCGGTTGGTGCTGTGGTACAAAGAATATCCAGTACCGGGGCCTCCTGGTAAACAGCTGGGTGTGTGTGGACTTGGCCATCATGGGGTAGCTTTGAGGGAGCCATGAGCACAAAGGGGACAGCAGCGTCTGAGCTCTGGTCCCAGTGTAGATATGATGTTCTAAATGTATTTAGCTAATAACAGGATTTGATGTCAAGGACTTGCACTTGGTTAGGGTGTTGTTCTACCATTTGAGCCATGCCTCTAGACATGCTTTTTGCTGGTTATTTTGGTGATGGTGTGGCCTCTTGGACTTTTCTGCACAGGCTGGCCTGAAACTGGAGTTCCTCTGGATCTCAACCTTCTGAGAAGAGAGGATTACTGGTGTGAGCCACCCAGTTCAGGATGTGGCATGTGAACTGAGGTTTTAGGCTGTGTTAGAAGCTTCTAGGTGAAGAGAAAGGACATGGTGAGCCAGGGAGCACCTTGCGTGTGAAGATCTAGAGCCAGGTGCTGGGAGGAGAGGCAAAGGACCAGGAAGCACTGGGCAGCAGTGAGCGGAGAAAATTGTTTTGGTGTTAGGAGCATTCTAGTATGTCCAATGGGGTGGTGGGAAAGTAGACCCATTGTGGTGTGTGTGGATGGGAAGGGAGGGAAGAAATGGATTGGGACGTTATTGAAATAGAAAACAACGCTAGAAATGGAGAGGGAAGCCCTAGCTTTCATTGTCCACATCAGATTACAAGCTGGAGAGACGTAGCATGTGTTTATCTAGTTATCTCTATATGCTTAGTGTATGCCTGTGTTCCTACAAGGTAATTAATGGATGTTAATGATAGGGCCTAGGCACCATTTATCATCTTCCCACCAGACTCAGTCTTTGCCATCCTCCATGCAAAAGGTAGAGCCTAGCTTAGAAGAATCAGAATACAGATGCAGAATAATCCGTGTGGAACACAGCCGAGTCTGTCCTATGAACAATGATATGCGGACTGTGAAAGTGGACAAGGATAAAATATGCAGCATCATGCAAAGTTATGCAAATAAAGAAAAGGTGCAAAATGATTTGCATGCCCAAAGGTGACATTGTAAACATAGGAGCTGGAGGCTGCCATCTGCAATTGCCTAGGGGGCAGGGGAGGGGCAGTCGGCACTCTTACTTGGGTACTTTCCCAAAAGAAGGAAGAGCAGCAGGAGCTCCTCAGTGAGCCAGGGCTGGTGACTGATGCCTGTAATCTTAATTACTTGGGAAGTACAGAGTGGAGAGATTGTGGTTTGAGGGCAGCCTGTGCAAAAAGTTCGCCAGACCATTAGAAAACCTGGGAATGAAGGTTAGTGTGAATCTGCTGTCCCAGCCACACAGGAGTCAGCAATAGAAGGATTGTGGTCCAGCTGCCTGGACAAAAAGCCAGACCCTGTTTGAAGAAGCAAAAAAGGCTGGGTTGTGGGCATAGCAATAATGTACTTGCCTATCAATCGTGAGGTCCTGAGTTCAAATCCCTGTACTGCCCCCAAAAAAGTTCTGATGTATTTTTCTTTCTCACTGCTTCCTGCAGATTTTATATAAGCTACTTTCATCATGGGAGAAATAGAGCAGAAGCCTACTCCCGGATCACGGCTGGGGGCCCCTGAGAATTCGGGGATCAGCACCTTGGAACGTGGACAGAAGCCACCCCCGACACCGTCAGGGAAGCTCATGTCCATCAAAATCCAGATGCTGGATGACACCCAGGAGGCATTTGAAGTTCCGGTAAGTTGGGGTATGTCTGGGAGCCTCCCATTCGTGGTCCTTCCAGGGACCTGAGGTACTCATGGGGCCATGGGGTCTGCACCGTCTCCCCTTCTCCCTGTCTTCCTCCCTCATCAAGTGACACTCACCTGTTCTGAATCAAGTCGGTCGTGTTTCAGAGCTGTGAGTGAACTGCTGTGTAGCAACATGAATGACCTCGCCGGGGGAATTTTCATAGGCTCTATTTACACCAATATATGGAATTAATGTTTGTGCTTTATAGGTAATATATATCATGTGTGTATGGTCTGTGTTAGATATACATATATGTACCATCCATTAGGTTTGAATGGGAAGAAAGATTGATCGTCTGGCTGTGTGGTGAGTATGTGTGTCTGTCTGTCAAAGCCAGGGACAGACTCACAAGCACACCTGTTCTTGGAGTGCAGACATTATTCCAATCACTGGCTAGCGTGACTGAAATTTAATAGCCGGCATTATATTCAATGATAGTAGAAACCCATCATTTAATCGTTTATGGGATATGATTCAGTAAATTATATTTATTTCAAAAGAACATTGTTGGGAGAGTGTGAATTACGTGTCTCGGGGAAGGATAAAGCTGAGGATAGCTATGTGCGGAACCACAGATTTCTTATGCATTACAGACAACTTTTGAGTGTTTCTAATTTCCTACTAAGGACCTGGGGATGCCTTTGTGTGCTAGTGAACGGAGCCACTACTAATTTCTGGAAGTGTAAAATCAGTGAGAAAAGCACTCTGCCTCCTTTGAGAATTGGGCCAACTAGAATACATGCCTCCCTCCCGCTCTCTACCCCAAGTTTTTCTCTGCCTCGTCAGACTGGTCCGGTGAGGTATGGAGTTTCTTGGTTTCTTATTAGGTCAGTAATTTTAGGGATCTGGAGCCCAGTCACTAGCAGCAAGCAGTGCATTTTATGTATTTACTTATTTTAGTGCCTGTCCTGAGGCTTGAACTTTGGGCCCAGCGCTGTCCCTGAGCTTTTTTTTCTCAAGGCTAGTGCTCTACCACTTAAATCACAGCTCCCCTTCTGGCTTTTTTGGTAGTTTATTAGAGATGAAAAGTCTCACAGGCTTTCCTGCCTGGACTGGCTTCAAACCTGTATCCTCAGATTTCAGCCTCCTGAGTAGCGAGGATTACAGGTGTGAACCTTATTTTGATATCCTCAGCATCCAATGTGGATGGCTGATGCTGATTTTGCTGCCTGAATGTGAAGAACAAATTTATTTAATAAATAGAACTTGGAATCACTTAGTTTTTAATGTCTCCTCCTCTTCATATTTTATTTTTACTTTTCTAATTTGGTCAGAATGTTCTGTCTCAACCCATGGGCAACAGATGTGTTCCTGGCTTACTGTCAAGCCAGATACCAGCATTTCTATGGATGGAGCTGTTTTTTAAATCGCTGCTGTGGGCTCTTTAAGAGGAGTCTGGCCATCCCACAGCTGGAAGCCATCAGGCGGTTGTGATCCAGTCATTGCTCAGGGTTGGAGGAGAGTGGCTGAGGATTGCAGAGACCCAGTTTCCTGTAATTGCTGTAAAATCCTACCCCACAACTTTTTGCTGTGATTTCATCAAGGCCAAGTGTGTCTGACCCTGGAAACAATCTTCCCTCCCGTGCTGGAAGAGCCTCAAGTGAGCAGATACTCGAGTGCAGAAGAGGCTCTAGGGAACAGCTCTGGAATTAGTTCCCCTGGGTGGTATTCTCTGAGTGCTGCCTTTCTCGGGGGATTGGGGCTCAGGGTCTTTTTCTGCCCCTTTTGTTTTAATATATAGAGATGCAGGACTGGATCTCTGCGCAGATTCCTTCAACGCTTCCTGGAGCACACAAAAATAAATCACACTCCCTCCAGTTGTTTCCTTCATTATTTGAGGCCTTTAGAAACATTATTATGAAAGAGGTTAACCTTTGGAAATGCCAGGGCAGTGAGTGCCAGGCTTTTCTAACCGTAGCGAGTGCCACCCACAAGCACCTTTCCTGGGTGAACTGGGCCAGTCTTTATAGGTTGGAAAGTTTAAACGCCACATTTATATGGGTTTGCGTGGGGTGTTATCTTTATGAGGAAGAGCGGGTCCCAGGCATTGGGAAGGGTTAATAAACCCATCTCCTGCCAGGCTTCTTTGGCAGGTGTTCACCCCACCGAGGTCTTAGGTGTCCGGGCCTCATGACCCTGTGGTAAACAAACACTGTTCCACTGATGTTTGTAGAAGCAAATGGTGTCTACCCCCCCAACCCCCCCTTTAGCTGTGCCACTGGAGGGGAGCAGAGGAGGCCTGGTGACAATGCTTGTGGAGATGCTTTGGGCAACAGGAAGTTGCTTCATATCTGTGGCAGGGTTGGCACTGGAGGGTAGTGGCAAGCAGTGGAGAGGGCCAACACCACAGGCACCAGGCACTTAGCCTCAGCCACAGTGACAGCAGGACATTATCCCTGGCCATTTCCTGGCCTGGTGTCTTGTCACTAAGCTGTCAAAGCTTGGACAGGCAGTGTTCTCTGCCGGCGGGTTCAGAATGGATGTGTTAGTTCAGGAAGCCTGGCAGAGATCGGGAGTCTTTGCTGATGGCTGCTTGGACCCTGTGTGGTTCTCAACCATAGCCTCATGTTTTATCAGCTGGTGCTAGAAAGTTCTCTGATATGTTTGCCTGTGTCATGCGGCAGGTGGAATGGGAGCGCCGAGGGGGAAGGTCGCTCCTGTTCTTGTCCTGGTGGAGGCCTGAGCTCCTGGCTGGCCACAGTGAGCTTCCAGTTTTCCTAGGCTCACAGAAGTTGTGCGAGGGGCCTGGTGCCTTCCACTGAAATAGCATAACAGATGTGGGAATCTGCAGGAAGAACTTTCTCTCCTCCTCGGGTCTGCTTTCAGGTGAGGCTGGTGTCGGACCCTTCCAATGATGGCTCTGCATATGGACTCTCTCTCCCATGAGCTTCTTGGCCTCCCTAGCTTGCTTTTCTTCTAGTTCTTATCATCTTCCCTCTAATTAGCCTTGGGATCTTGTCTCCAGTCTGCCTCTCACTTATGATTTCCTTCTCCTCCCTCATATCCAGACTTGGTTTCCTTATCTGTAAAATGAGGTGTTTGGTCCACATGGTATTAAAAAGCTTTTTCCCGGGGCTGGGGGTTTAGCCCAGCGGAAGGGCACTCGTCTGGCGCGCGCAAGGCCCTGGGTTCGGTTCTCAGCCCTGGAAAAAAAGAAAAAAAAAAAAAAAGCTTTTTCCCCTCCCTCTCCCTTTCGGTTTTTCGGGAAGTTGGGATCCTATCTATGTTGGTGTCCTTGTCATGAATATACACATACTTATATCTATATTTATAGATATTATTCATATGTAAATAAAAATATTTATTTATTTTGGTGCCAATTCTAGGGCTTGAACTAAGGGCATAGGCACTGTCCCTGAACTTTTTTGCTCAAGGCTAGCCCTCTACCACTTGAGCCACAGCTCCACTTCCAGCTTTTTGGTGGCTAATTAGAGATAAGTGTGGATTTTATGGATTTTCCTGTCTAGGCTGTCTTTGAACCACGATCCTCAGGTCTCAGCTTCCTGAGAAGCTAGGGTTATAGGCATAAACCACAAATACCCAGCATGAATACTTTTTTATGACGGCCTTTGGGAATTCCCCAGGTACACTGTAAGCTCCCGGGGAGTTACTAATCTGAAAAGAAAGGCCCCTAAAGTCTAATCAGACACAGGAGTTACTGTGTACCCACTAAGCGCTGAATGAACTACCTGCCGAGGATGAGCAGGGTGTGATTTCTAGCACTGTGAAGTATCTGGGCTGTTTGAAGGAGTATTGGGTACTGCTCCCCGCACGGCAACCAGCGCTGAACTCCGAAACCTTGATGGCAGGAGATAGAGGACAGAAGGAAACCAGATATTTTCTTAGTAACACACTATTAATGGAAGATTCGGGTTCGTGCAAATCAGAGAGGACCTCTGAAATGGTATAGAAAAACGATTAGTTGCCTTGTCACAAGAGACAGACCACATAGGAATTTTTCGCTGGCGGCAAAATTGCCTGTGCTCCCCAAGACCTAATTAGGAGTGTCATAAAGTCAGGTCTTAAATGATTAAACACGAGTTTCATTTTATTACCTTTTGAAATGAAACCGGCCTTTCATTTCAGTTCTCCGCTGAGCCTGGGTGGGACATGAGTGGAGGCTCATCCCTCCCTGAACTGGACGGGGGTGGGGGGATGGTGGGGGGGGAGGGTTGGGGGGTTGGGGAAAGCTGGCATCCTGCCCCTGAGCTCAGCAAAAGGGATGAAGCAAAAGGTTTCTTCTCAAAAGCCCCGTTTCTCTTCTTTATGTTTCTTTTTTTAGTTTTCTCCTGGGACTGCATGAGCTGATGGCCTCAAGCCTGGCTTATATTTACTTGGCAACCTTGTCATTATGAAAACCTTTGCTTTCCTCCATCTTTGGTTTAAAACATTAAAAAAAAATGAATCTGTGTGTGTGTGTGTGTCCATGCACACACATGTGCATGTGTGTGTGTTGTTACTGGGGCTTGAACTCAGGGCGTGGGTGCTGTCCCTTAACTTTTTTTTTTTTTTGCCAGTGCTGATGAACTCAAGGCCTGGGCACTGTCTCTGAGCTTTTGCTCAACGCTAGAGCTCTACTACCTGAGCCACAGTGCAACTTCTGGCTTTTTCTGAGTAGTTCAGTGGAGATACGAGTCTCATGGAGGTGTGTCTCCTTTAGAACACCTGTACTCTTTTAGAGTGTGCTGTCTCTGCCTTTCTACTTATCTGTTTGTCTGCTTTGCTTACTTACTCAGTAAAGCTCTGCCAAGTTTTTTTTTTTTAAAGAGTTTCCTGCCTGGGTTGGCTTTGAACTATGATCCTTAGATCTCAGCCTCCTGAGTCGCTACGATTACAGGTGTGAGCCACTGGCACTCGGCTCCCTTAGTTTTCTGTTCAAGGCTGATCCTCTACTACTAGAGCCACAGTTCCATTTCCAACTTTTTGGCGGTTAAAATTTGAGCTAA